TTGTAGCTCGCCGGCTCTTTTCACATCCGCCCAGAGTCTGACTGGTGCTGCCGTCATTGCGTTTGTGTCAGTGACGAACCCGTTTGGAGCTGCCTCGCCTTCATAAAGCACAAACGCGCTCGAAACCCTCACAGCCTCACAGCCGACAACAACAACATTGGGCCGGATTGCTGCTCCAGCCCATTCATCTGCTACAGTTCCCAGTAGGCTAGCTCGGTCTGGCGTGCGCGAGGCACGCCCGCCTTCGTTAAGTTGTGCCTCCATCGTTGGTGCTACAAGGCCTGGATATGAAACATGGGCTTTTTGTGTCTGTTCAGGAGGGGTTGATCCGCCCCTGCCCCGCCTTGACGTAAAGCGTGACGTATGCCGGTGCTTTTTGCTCGCAGCCGGGGACAATTTTTTAGGTGCTTGAAACAAAAGCCGGTTCCGCGGAGCTAAGAGGCTGCTCAGCCTGCGTGGTGAACAGGAAACGGTGGCGTTTGTCAAGCTCCCAGCTCCGAACCGGCCCTGAGGGGGGAAGCAAGCCGTTGTTGGTGAAGAGGGTATACGCTCCCTGCTTTTGACGAGATAGGTGTTGCGATTTGACATGCCAGTTGACTGAAAATTTCTAAATTGGTCATGTTGGCTTAGGATTCGAGTTAGCGCCGTGCGTGCTTACTTGTTCGGTACGGTTAGTTGGGGGGGGGGGGGGGGCATGAGTGCTCAGTGCCCAGGGGCCCCTGGAGGTACTAATCCGGCCTTGATGAAGAGATCTATGGATCTATGAGCTCTTTGCTTGCCTGAAAATGCTTTGCTTGAAAAATATTACATATATAATAACAATAATAATAATAGTAGTAATAATAATAAGAAGAAGAAGAAGAAGAAGAAGAAGAAGAAGAAGAAGAAGAATATAGTTGAAATAAAATAAATTGTAATTGTGGTTAAATAACATTGCCTGTGGGGCTGTGATTCGGCTATACACTGCCGCCGCGTAGTAATAAAGTTGAGCGCATACATAGTGAGACCTACAGTACAGAGACCTACAGTAATTTGACTCTATGGAAAAGCTGTGTTATTTATAGCGAAGTGTGAGTGTCATTTAAAACAATGTATGATGAGTGAGGTTGTGCCTGGAAAAAAAACAATCTTATCACTGAGGGCCCTCTTTGCTCAAGGGCCCCTGGGCACTTGGCCAGGTTGCCCATATGGTTAATCCGGCCTTGCTCAAAACACATCTCTTCCCACTCGCATATCCACCCTGATCATTATCCATCACACGTCCACTGTTTTATTTATTTTATTTTGTATATAGCCTACTGCATTGTCTTGTTTATGTTTCTTATGCTGGTGTTATGTATTGTGTATCTTGTTTTTTGTGTGTTTGTACGGCTACCTTGAGAGCCTTGAGAAGTGCCTATATAACGTAAATTAATTATTATTATTATTAAAAATGTCCAATCACATTAAAACAAGAATTTATGCCAGTCGTACATTTTCATTCAGCACTAACTAGTACTTACTTGGGTGTACATTCAAAAGAGGTTACGATCCACCACGGGTCGATGAGCGCTCCGCTGCAGGACACTCCTCCCCCGTGCAGATACACCTGCCAGGGTCTGGAGTGAGGCTGGCACACCTTGAAGTCCTCCAGAGGAGACGCTCCTGTAACACACCAAGACCACAGAGAAACTGAACATCTACTCCTATGTTCATCTCTTTTATTTTACACACAACATAGTAAATATCTACCTGCGAGCCCCAAAGCAACCCCCAGTAGGAACAGATGCATGTTGTTTTTGTTGAGTTAGTATCTCTGACAGTGTGAGATTAGTCTGGTGTATTTATATCTACACACCTTTTTGAGGACAGTGGGAGGAACACACTGCTTTATTACTAACCCGCATGATTTCCAGTACAACCTTATCAGAGACAATTTGAACACGTCCGGTTAACACTATGTTGTAGTGACACACCTTGTTTATAAGGAAGAAGAAAGACCCATACTCATGGTACATACAATAAATCGTTTATCCATAATAGATTGCATTTCACATTTTGGTGAAGTTAATTTCTTCTTAATAGCAACAATCTGCTGTGCACAGATTCTGTTAGCTTTTTGGGATGTATTAAAGACAGTTTTTATGGGTAGTCTGTGCTAAGTAAGTGCACTTTATAATGAATAATTGTGTCATAGATAAATGAACAAAGCTTTGTTGCACCACAAGTAGTAATGATGAAGAAGATAAGAGTGGAGATATTATACCCACTGCTGTTATAAAGTTAATATTTGACCATGATGCAATGTTAAAGGCATGTCTTAAAGTATCAAAGATTGCACAGCTCTGCTGCTCTTTTGGGAAACCATAATATTTGATAATAGTATTCTCTTCCCCCCTCAAGTGTTTATTCAGGCCGAGTTACCCTTCCAAAGCTGGTTAACATTTCACACGTTCAGTATTTTTAAAGTACTGAAGTACAAATGATGGTACTCAGATAGGATCTATCTATCTATCTATCTATCTATCTATCTATCTATCTATCTATCTATCTATCTATCTATCTATCTATCTATCTATCTATCTACCTATATATCTATCTATCTATCCATCTATCTATCTATATATCGATCGATCGATCAATCTATCTATCTATCTATCTATCCGTCTATCTATCTATCTATCTATCTATCCATCTATCTATCTATCTATCTATCTATCTATCTATCTATCTATCTATCTATCTATCTATCTATCTATCTATCTATCTATCTATCTATCTATCTATCTATCTATCTATCTACCTATCTATCTACCTATCCATCTATCTTTCTATCTATCTATCTATCTATCCATATATCTATCTATATATCTATCTATCTATCCATCTATCTATCTATATATCGATCAATCGATCAATCTATCTATCTATCTATCTATCCGTCTATCTATCTATCTTTCTTTCTATCCATCCATCTATCTATCTATCTATATATCGATCGATCAATCTATCTATCTATCTATCTATCTATCCATCTATCTTTCTATCTATCTATCTATCTATCCATATATCTATCCATCTATCTATCTATCTATCTATCTATCTATCTATCTATCTATCTATCTATCTATCTATCTATCTATCTATCTATCCATCTATCTATATATCGATCGATCGATCGATCGATCAATCAATCAATCTATCTATCTATCTATCTATCCGTCTGTCTGTCTATCTATCTATCTTTCTTTCTATCCATCCATCTATCTATCTATCTATATATCGATCAATCTATCTATCTATCTATCTATCTATCCATCTATCTTTCTATCTATCTATCTATCTATATATCGATCGATCAATCTATCTATCTATCTATCTATCCATCTATCTTTCTATCTATCTATCTATCTATCCATCTATCTATCTATCTATCTATCCATATATCTATCTATCTATCTATCTATCTATCTATCTATCTATCTATCTATCTATCTATCGATCGACTGCGTTTGGGTCCTATTTCCTACCAAACCCCTGACAATTGTCCCTCTATTTTTAGATAACAATATATAAAAAACTGTCCATAATCAAAGACTCATTTCACTTCAGGTTGATAGCAAGCCACCCCAGATATTCATTCAGAGAATATTAGGACATTCTGTTGTAGAGTTTCAAATAAAAGATCTTTGAAATCTCATAAATGAGTTATCTACATCGAAACAGGCATCAGAAAGTCCTAATATGTTGATGTAAATAGAGGGACGTTCGCTCTTATATGAGATTTCAAAGATCAGAATGACCTGATACCTACCTTCCTAAAGATGCAGGTATACCAACAAATATTATTGTATACACACACTTCAAGTACCATCCATTTTAAGTGGGTAAGCTCTTAAAGTGCTAATTAATTATTAGAGACATAAATGCTCCCAAATCAAAACTGACATTAGAATCAAATGAAACACATTTTGTAAAAAGCCAAACACACATGTTTAATTTTCTTCTCTTCGCTGTATCATTTATGTGTGAATTTCTCTCTGTTTTGCAGCGTGCCCTCAGATGAAATAACCTTAGTGTCAAAGCCAGATGAGATAGCAGTCAGCTGTTGATCAAATACATTTTACACAGATACTGATATCAAGCAAACAGTACAAATCATCTCACTTTGATTTATATAACAACAGGGCTGCAAACGCACAGATCTGTATGTGTCACTACAGTATATCTGAATTATGATTATTCAATGAATTTGTAAAGTAACAGTAGTAATGGTTGTTGTCCTATGTCTGTCTGAAACCCTATACATCATGTGGGGAACAAATGAAAAAGATGGTGCTTCTAATCCTTTGTTGGTGTTGGTTGTAGCTTCAGACACAGCCACATGTTGCAGATGTATGCACTAATTAAAAAATCACAGCAGTCCTGGATCACTACTTGTCAGAATCAACAGAAAGAAACCCCTCAGTCTTTGATGTTTATGCATCTCTGTCAGTTTCTCCGCGCTCACATTTTACATGTTGTTCCTTTTCATCCATTATTAATTTGCAACACAAGCGTCTGTTCTGGTGCGGCCTCGGCTGATAAAAGCACTCATTGCAGATTTATTCAGACAAAATCACGTGATCCTTTCCATCAGTGAGATAAAAAGGAAAAGCCAGAGCGGGGATATGAGAAATATGCACAATTTAAAACATCAAAACAGTAAACCTAATTATCATTTATCCACAGGAGACACCAGTTTGTGTTGTATAAATATTTTATTTCAAGATATGACACTTTTTCAGAGGTGAAATAACTGAGAAGAAACCCATAGGTGGCGATATTGTTTAATTATACGTGTTTGTTTTCCACCCAGGGAAAATGCTGTTGGTACATGATAAGTTGACTCCAGATGCTCCAACTGGTTCTGTTCTTGTTCTTCTATGCAAGCTGTTGTGCTCTCCAAGGATTACATTCCTCTTTTGGTGGTTATCATCATATAGCAGCAGTACAGTGGCCCGAGTAAGCGCCACAGAGAGCAGGAAGTCCATTTTTGTAAAAGGCTTAAAATGTCAGATGACGTTTTGACCTTTCTTGTGGAAAGTCCTCATGCTGTCAGAAAGGCTACATGAGAAATCAGTTTCTGTTTACTTCTGGTACAGGCTGTGGTAAATCTGGTCTTGCAGGATTCCAGCGTAGGTGGTCACGACGTTGGTGGTTTCAGTGTAAAGGTTCCTGTGGGAAACAAAGTACATATAAATCAATACTTAAGTTGTTCAGCATCAGTGAATCTGCATTTAAGCAGAGGTGGGAAGTAGTGGAGTACAAATACTTTGTTACTGTACTTAAGTACATTTTTCGACTTTTTACTTTTACTTCTTACATTTTTAACACAAATACCTGTACTTTGTACTTCTTACATTTTCAAAACAGGCTGGTTACTTTAGTTTGAATCTGCGTTTGGTGGCGTGATCATTATTATTCAGAGTCATTGGGTTCCTTTTGATTTTAACACGATCCGTGTACTCATCATTTCCTGGTCTTCTCTAAAGAAGAGGGACCAATGAAAACTCGGCTCGATTATTGTTCTATTTATATGAAGGGAGGTCAGGTACTCTGTAAAACAGTTGGTACTATAGTTTTGGGTACTTTTTACTGAGTACATTTCGAGGCCCATACTTCTTTACTTTTACTTGAGTAAAGAAGTTTAGTCAGTACTTCTACTTTTACCAGAGTATTATTAAACACGAATATCTGTACGTCTACTTGAGTAAAGGATGTGTGTACTTTTGCCATCTCTGCATTTAAAGGTAACCTATGCAAAATCCACTTTTTCATGTCTCTTCTACATCAACATGTGTCCCCTCTGTCTAAAGAGACTCTGAAAGTTTCAGGAAGAAAGATTCTCTCTCTTTTTGTCCTGATCCATTTATATAAAAACCTGTCTGAAAATGAGCTGATCAGATTTTGGCCACTTTATGATGTCATAACAATGTTTTGGCTTGAGTAACCATTAGCCAATCAGCAACCAAGGTAACCCCCCCCCCCTGGATTTATCTGAGACCTATAATATATTGATGAGAAACAGTATAACAGGGGACCTTTAATATGTATTGTTTGCGGGGGGTTGCTTAATGCCGTAGTGTTATGCCCACGTATGGAGATCTAGACGACGGGCTGTCAAACAGAAAATGTCACATGTAGCTCAATGCGACACCTCAGCGGCGTCTCCTCCCCGCGGCGCTCATTTAATGGACGCTCCCCACCAGTTAAGGGCCAAATATTAGTTTTCTCCTCCTCCCTCAATACATAACTGGAGGGGTTCACATCCCCTCCCCACACCCCCCCCCGTCTATCTCCCTTTACGCCCCCAAATTGCTCCCGCGCTCATTACCTCTGCAGGATTGATGTTTTCTTTTCATAAAGCGCCAAGCTGATATCCCACGGATTCAGAATTAATAAAATATGAAGCGCATTAATATTCCCCTCGTTCACATTCTGCTAGTATCGCAGAAGGGCCTGTCAATCACACGGGCAGGGCAGCTCTCTGCGTTCAACACCTAGACCGTGTTCAAAGGAGCTTTTGATGTAATAATAATAATAATAATAATAATAAAGCTTTATTTGATGCCCCTGTGGGTTCATCTGGAGAGGGTGTGGCTGTGCTGTGTCCAGCCTGGGTCTGGTGCCCTGCAGCTACCAAGCCTCTCTGCTCCTCGGTTATGGCTAGAAAGGATCCGTCTTGTGTAAATATGACGTCACGTTCTCGTTGTAACTCTAATCTACAGCAGCAACATACACATGAATGCAGCAGCAATATTAATAGAGAAACATCAGACATAATAGTGAAACACTGAAAGGGAACATTGTATTGCACCTGGAGCTATCTTGGGACTTTTACTGCGACAACGTTGACTTGCCTGTGAATAAAAAATAAACCATAGTTAGACCCTCAAGGGTAACGAGATCCTGCGATCGCAGAATTTACCGCATAATCAGCAAAATGGCGCAGATTTTTAAAAGGCAGCATAATCCCCGCATTTTTCCACACAAAGTAAAAAAAAAAAAAAGTTAACTCCTCTTGATGTGAAGTAGTGATGATGATGATGATGATGATGATGATGATGATGATGATGACGCGACGTCATCAGCTCGCGCATCACAGAAGGTAAACAACACCGTAGAGTGAACGTGTGGAACTCACACGAGAGAGAAAACACCAAGATGAAAAAATCTGATCCATCTCATTTACCGACGAACATTTCTACTAAAGACCGGGCAAAGCATTACCCCGATGTCTTTCACGAAAGTGTGTGTGTGTGTGTGTGTGTGTGTGTGTGTGTGTGTGTGTGTGTGTGTGTGTGTGTGTGTGTGTGTGTGTGTGT